CAAAAGTTCATATGGAATCTCAAGAGATCACTGAATAGTCAAAATAATCTTGAAGAAGAACAAACTTGGGGGATTCATACTTCAAAACTTACTACAAAGCTATCACTGCAAAACAGTATGGGACTGGTATACAGACAGACATATCGACCAATGGAACAGGACACAGTGCCCTAAAACACTTTGAATATATGGTCAAATGGCTTTCTACAAAAATGCCAAAACCACTAAATGGAGAGGGGAGTCTTTTCAACAAATGGTGATGGGAAAACTGATTATCCACACGTAGAAGAATACGGCTGGACCCTTAAGTAATACCATATACAAATATTAACTCAAAATGGATCAAATACTTAAATGTAAGAACCTAAAACTATACAACTCAAATGAAAACATAGGGCAAACACTTCCTAACAATGGATTTAACAATGGATATGACAGCAAAGGCACAGACAACAACAAAAAACAGACAAATTAGCATCCGTTCATATTTTAAAATTTTGTATACCAACAGACACTATTTAGAAAGAGGCAATCGACAGAATGGGAGAAAATATTTGCAAACAATATATCTGATAAGGGCTTAATATAGAAAATATACACAGAAAATTACTAAAATTTAACAATAAGAAGAAAAAAAACCCACTCAAAAAATCCCAAATGACTTGAATAGACATTTCTCCCAAGAACACGTACAAATGTCAAAAAATCCCATAAAACACAGATGTTCTACATCCCTAGTCATTAAGGAAATGCAAATCACAAATAAAACGAGATATTACCTCATACCCATTTGGATAGCTACTATCAAAAAAGCAAAAGAAAATAAGTGATGGTAAGGATGTGGAGAAACCAGAACTCTTGAGCACAGTTAATGAGAATGTAAAAGGTGCAGCTGCTAAATTTGCCTTATGATCCAACAATCCACTTCTGGGTATATAAGGGAAAAAAAATCAAAAGCAGGGTCTCAAAGAGATTTTGTACACTCATGTTCACAGCAGCATTATTCAACTGCTAAAGTGTAGAAGTCCGAATGTCCATCAACAGATAAATAGATAAGAAAAATAGTATACACACACACATACATTACTATTCTTCCTTAAAAGGGAAGGAAATTCTGACACACCTGGCAACATGGATAAAGTGTGAGGATGTCATACAGTGAAGTAACCAATCACAGACAGACAAAGACTATATGATTACACTAAATGAGTTATCTAGAGTAGTCAAAATCATAATGATAGGAAGTAGAATGGTTGGGGCCTCTCGCGAGGGAGAAAAATAGGGAATTATTGTTCAATGGGTGAAGTTTCAGTTGAGCAAGGTGACTGTCAATTTGTTCATGTTAATTTTCAATTTAATTTATAAGGGGTGCTTACATAAAACAACAGCTCTTTATCATTTTTCATAAATATGTCTACCCCTCTGTTTTTCCTTATGACATTCTGCCCAAGCCTACAGCCTTTACACAGTCAAACTCATCAAGCTCTTCTCCCTAACACCTGTGTGTAGACCTTTTATTTAGAAGAGACTTTGACATTTCCTCTGTTTTCTTCTAGGGCTCTTACAGTTTCATGATTTTATCTCTATATCATTAATTCATTATCAATTTATTTCAGAGTGAAAAAAGAATACATTAACATTTATTAGCTAATCTATCCTGTCCCTAATGATTTGAATTTCACCTTTGTCATTGTATCAGTAATCTGTTGTCATGAAACAAACTACCTCAAAACTTATTATCTTAAAATAACAACTATCAGCTCGGCGCCTATAGCTCAACCGGCTAAGGCGCCAGCCACGTACACCTAAGGTGGCGGGTTCGAATCCCCAGCCAGTCACTGGGACAAGTGGCTTCACTTCAAA